CCATTGGCAAAATAATCATGTTATCCTAAGCGGTTGATTGCAGGGAAATAGTGGTGATGGTATCAACCAAATAGCTAATTGACTACCAGAAGATAGATGCAGTGCAGGCTTGATAAGGAGAACTCATCCGCGACCCAAGAAATGATTCTTCTTATGAGAAATTCCTCTGATCCAGATAAGAATTCAAGCAAGAAAAATTACCGTGGATAAACAAGTTGTTCTTCACAACAAGGTTACCTTAAGTGGTCTGCACTGAAATAGTATCTTCACTCTATACAGTTGACTACACTGAGACAGAATTGATAATAATATCATCCTTTTTAGTTGACTCTGTTTAGAATGATATCATCCATTCAGATGACCCCATTGACACTCCATTGAAACTGTATAGATAAACTTATCATCTCTTTTGCAAACTACATGGAAACTGATATCATTCATTTAGTAGACTCATTGAGAATGAAGTCATCCATTTAACTGACTGTATGGAGAACGCTTTCATCTTTTGTTGGCTAAGTGAGAATGAAGTCATCCATTTAACTGACTGTATGGAGAATATTTTCATCTTTTATTGGCTAAGTGAGAATAAAATCATCCATTTAACTGACTATGTGAAGAATGCTTTCATCTGTTCAGTTGACTAACTCGGAATTAAATAACCCATTTAACTGATTAAATGGAGAATGATATCGGCCATTTAGTTCACAACTAGCCATCTAGAATTTTGACTACATGCTTATCAAGTTGTCAGCTAACAAGAAGATGTGATAACTATCTATTCACACTTTTAATTGCAATAAGACACGATACTGTCTATCTAGCCATTTGATTGCAATAAGACATGATACTGTCCATCTAAACATTTGATTGCAATAAGACAAGATACTGTCCATCTAAACATTTGATTGCAATAAGACATGATACTGTCCATCTAAACATTTGATTGCAATAAGACACAATACTGTCCATCTAAACATTTGATTGCAATAAGACACGATACTGTCCATCTAAACATTTGATTGCAATAAGACACGATACTGTCCATCTAAACATTTGATTGCAATAAGACACGATACTGTCCATCTAAACATTTGATTGCAATAAGATATGATACTATCCTGCCAATGGCAGCAAGTGACGATATTGTCTATAAAGACATTTGATTGCAATGAGACATGATACTATTCATCTGACCATCTAATTGCAAGGTGACTTAAAATCAAAATGTTATTATCAAATTAAATTGTTGACTACATGGAAACTGTAAATGATTTTGATCATTATACAAACATTATTTAAAAAATTAATGTTTACTGTCTCCATAATGAAGGTTTACTGCAGTACACCCACTCTAGCCTCTTCTACTGTGTGACTCTCATACCTCTGTCTTATTGCCACATGAATGTTTTTTCTTTTCTTTCCTTAAAAAAAAAAAAAAACACATTGACTATCAGCCACAGAAATCTAACCCTGGTACTTGAGGATTGTAAAATTGTGAAACACATTTACCAACCTCTAGGCCAGTGGTCTCCAACCTTTTTAAAGTCGTCGTTCGTCCGCGCCTTACCACGCCCCTTTGCATATAAGGTAAGGCCCTGGTCTGTGATAGATTCTTCAGGTGATCACATTTGATAGTCAGTGGTCTGTGATAGATTCTTCAGGGGATCACACTTGATAGTCAGTGGTCTGTGATAGATTCTTCAGGGGATCACACTTTATAGTCTTTGGTCTGTGATAGATTCTTCAGGGGATCACATTTGATAGTCGGTGGTCTGTGATAGATTCTTCAGGTGATCACATTTGATAGTCGGTGGTCTGTGATAGATTCTTCAGGGGATCACACTTGATAGTCGGTGGTCTGTGATAGATTCTTCAGGGGATCACTTGATACACTCTGTGATAGTCTTCAGGGGATCACACTTTATAGTCTTTGGTCTGTGATAGATTCTTCAGGGGATCACACTTGATAGTCGGTGGTCTGTGATAGATTCTTCAGGGGATCACACTTGATAGTCGGTGGTCTGTGATAGATTCTTCAGGGGATCACATTTGATAGTCGGTGGTCTGTGATAGATTCTTCAGGTGATCACACTTGATAGTCAGTGGTCTGTGATAGATTCTTCAGGGGATCACACTTTATAGTCTTTGGTCTGTGATAGATTCTTCAGGGATTCTCACACTTTGATAGTCGGTGGTCTGTGATAGATTCTTCAGTCACACTTGATAGTCGGTGGTCTGTGATAGATTCTTCAGGGGATCACACTTTGATAGTCGGTGGTCTGTGATAGATTCTTCAGGGGATCACACTTTGATAGTCGGATAGTCGGTGGTCTGTGATAGATTCTTCAGGGGATCACATTTGATAGTCAGTGGTCTGTGGTAGATTGATATCACATTCTTCAGGGGATCACATTCTTCAGGGATAGTCGATAGTCGGTCTGTGATAGATTCTTCAGGTGATCACATTTGATAGTCAGTGGTCTGTGATAGATTCTTCAGGGGATCACACTTTATAGTCTTTGGTCTGTGATAGATTCTTCAGGGGATCACACTTGATAGTCGGTGGTCTGTGATAGATTCTTCAGGTCACACTTGTAGTCAGTGGTCTGTGATAGATTCTTCAGGGGATCACACTTGATAGTCGGTGGTCTGTGATAGATTCTTCAGGTGATCACATTTGATAGTCAGTGGTCTGTGATAGATTCTTCAGGTGATCACACTTGATAGTCAGTGGTCTGTGATAGATTCTTCAGGTGATCACACTTTATAGTCGTCTGTGATAGATCTGTGATAGATTCTTCAGGGGATCACATTTGATAGTCAGTGGTCTGTGATAGATTCTTCAGGTGATCACACTTGATAGTTGGTGGTCTGTGATAGATTCTTCAGGGGATCACACTTGATAGTCGTTGGTCTGTGATAGATTCTTCAGGTGATCACACTTGATAGTTGTTGGTCTGTGATAGATTCTTCAGTGATACATTCTAGTCAGGGTCTGATCACATTCTTCAGGTACACTTTGATAGTCGGGTCTGTGATAGATTCTTCAGGTGATCACATTTGATAGTCCGTGATAGTGGTCTGTGATAGATTCTTCAGGGGATCACACTTTATAGTCTTTGGTCTGTGATAGATTCTTCAGGGGATCACACTTGATAGTTGTTGGTCTGTGATAGATTCTTCAGGGGATCACACTTGATAGTCGGTGGTCTGTGATAGATTCTTCAGGTGATCACACTTGATAGTCAGTGGTCTGTGATAGATTCTTCAGGGGATCACACTTGATAGTCGGTGGTCTGTGATAGATTCTTCAGGGGATCACACTTTATAGTCTGTGGTCTGTGATAGATTCTTCAGGGGATCACACTTTACAGTCTTTGGTCTGTGATAGATTCTTCAGGGGATCACACTTGATAGTCGTGGTCTGTGATAGTCTGTGATAGATTCTGTGATAGATTCTTCAGGGGATCACACTTGATCACAGATTCTTCAGGGGATCACACTTTGATAGTCAGTGGTCTGTGATAGATTCTTCAGGGGATCACACTTGATAGTCGGTGTCGGTGGTCTGTGATAGATTCTTCAGGATAGATCACACTTGATATAGTCTGTGGTCTGTGATAGATTCTTCAGGGGATCACACTTGATAGTCGGTGGTCTGTGATAGATTTTTCAGGGGATCACACTTGATAGTCGGTGGTCTGTGATAGATTCTTCAGGGGATCACACTTGATAGTCAGTGGTCTGTCATAGATTCTTCAGGTGATCACACTTGATAGTTGGTGGTCTGTGATAGATTCTTCAGGGGATCACACTTGATAGTTGTTGGTCTGTGATAGATTTTTCAGGTGATCACACTTGATAGTTGTTGGTCTGTGATAGATTCTTCAGGTGATCACACTTGATAGTTGTTGGTCTGTGATAGATTCTGCAGGGGATCACACTTGATAGTTGGTGGTCTGTGATAGATTCTTCAGGGGATCACACTCGATAGTCGGTAGTCTGTGGTAGATTCTTCAGGGGATCACACTTAATAGTTGTTGGTCTGTGATAGATTCTTCAGGGGATCACACTTAATAGTTGTTGGTCTGTGATAGATTCTTCAGGGGATCACACTTAATAGTTGGTGGTCTGTGATAGATTCTTCAGGTGATCACACTTGATAGTCAGTGGTCTGTGATAGATTCTTCAGGTGATCACACTTTATAGTCGGTGGTCTGTGATTGATTCTTCAGGGGATCACACTTTACAGTCTTTGGTCTGTGATAGATTCTTCAGGGGATCACACTTGATAGTCGTTAATCTGTGATAGATTCTTCAGGTGATCACATTTGATAGTCAGTGGTCTGTGATAGATTCTTCAGGGGATCACACTTGATAGTCGGTGGTCTGTGATAGATTCTTCAGGTGATCACATTTGATAGTCGGTGGTCTGTGATAGATTCTTCAGGGGATCACACTTGATAGTCTGTGGTCTGTGATAGATTTTTCAGGGGATCACACTTGATAGTCGGTGGTCTGTGATAGATTCTTCAGGGGATCACACTTGATAGTCAGTGGTCTGTCATAGATTCTTCAGGTGATCACACTTGATAGTTGGTGGTCTGTTCTTCATAGGATCACACTTGATAGTCGGGTCTGTGATAGATTCTTCAGGTCAGTCTTTGGTCTGTGATAGATTCTTCAGGGGATAGTTGTGGTCTGTGATAGATTCTTCAGGTGATCACATTTGATAGTCTTCAGGTGATCACACTGTGATAGATTCTTCAGGGGATCACACTTGATAGTCGGTGGTCTGTGATAGATTCTTCAGGGGATCACACTTGATAGTCTGTGGTCTGTGATAGATTTGATCAGGTGTTCACACTTGATAGTCGGTGGTCTGTGATAGATTCTTCAGGTGGTCACATTTGATAGTCGGTGGTCTGTGATAGATTCTTCAGGGGATCACACTTGATAGTCGGTGGTCTGTGATAGATTCTTCAGGGGATCACACTTGA